CACACACGATACACACACACACGATACACACACACACAGGGGACACACACACACGTTACACACACACCATACATACACACAGGGGATACACACACACAGGGGATACACACACACACAAGGGATACACACAAACACGATACACACACACATGGGGATATACACACACACGATACACACGATACACACACAAGATACACACACACGATACACACACACGTTACACACACACCATACACACACGATACACACACACGATACACTCACACGATACACACACACGTTACACACACACCATACACACACGATACACACACACGATACACATACACACACGGGATACACACACACAGGGGATACACACACACACAGGGGATACACACGATACACACACGATACACACACACACACACGATACACACACACACACATGGTGTACACACACACACATGGTGTACACACACACGATACACACACACACAGGGGGTACACAGCGAGAGTCTTTTCAGGCCGCAAATCAGTACCTCACCAGGCACTGATTTGCGGCTGAGTTGACTTAGGGGAGTCCCAGGACACATTCAGATAATCGCCACTGGTGTTGTTGATCGCGAGCTGGAATCCAACTCAGATGGCCAGGTTTGGTAACACAGCGCTGCTAATCATTGCATGCACGATGCAGAGATGCATTCTCAAATGCTGTGAGAGAGCACGTGTTAAGGCCGGCAAGGCGCATGAGAGTTGGTGTGGTGGCTAACACCACGCCGGGCCGCCTCTAAAATATTCGCCACTGGTGTTGTCGGTCGTGAGCGGGGAACGAACTCGGGTCCTTTCCTCACGGCCACACACAAAGACAAAGATCCCCCCCCCCTGTGTAGCCTTAACAGACTGCTGGGGCAAGTGCTGTTAGCGAGAACCACACGAGGGGGTGGGTGGCCAACACCCCAGTAGCAATGTTTACACATCGCTCCATTTGAGGCCGAGTCGACCTAGGGGAGGACCAGGACCACATCAGATAATCGTCATTGGGTGTCGGCCGTGAACGGGAATCGAACCCGGGTCGCCAGGTTCGTAGCGCAGCGCGCTAACCGCTGCACCACCGCTCCCACGCACACAAAGACAAATATCTCCCCGTGTAGCCCTAACAGAGTTGGGGCAAGTGCTGTTAGCGAGTCGCACCTATGAAGGCCGGCAGGGCACACGAGGCGATGGGTGGTCAGCACCACAACCACGACCAACACAAGCGCCATTCGCCACTCAGCGACGGTGACGTCACCGCAGCGCCCGTGCCAGGCTAGGTGCACTTTGAGGCCACGTGAAGTGTCCAATGCTCGCTGGCAGGAGGAGGTCTCGGGATGGCACCACACACGAACACACACAGCGGCGCAGAATCACACGCAGACACAAAGACAATGACACACCCATTTATACGTACAAGGAACACAACAAATGCAATCACACCGACTTACACACACACACACTTGCTCAAACACACACTAGCTCACACACAATCTTTGATCACACACGCACACTTGCTCAAACACACACTCGCCCACACACAATCTTTGATCACACACGCACACTTGCTGACGCACACATAAAGACAAATGCAGGCACTTTTTTTACACTCACACACAGAACACAGCCAAACACACCCACACACAACGCCTACCCATCACACCCCCCATAAAGACAAAGATCCCCCCTATAGCCGTACATACTTTTGGGGGCAAGTGCTGTTAGCGAGCACCGGAACGACACACGAGGGGGTGGGTGGCCAACACCACCCCCGGCCGCCTTTGTCTCCCTAGTGGCGATGTTTACACATCATTTGTTAGCAACCTCGGGGAGGCACAGGACCGGTTCAGATAATCGTCACCGGTGTTGGCCGTGAGCGGGAATCGAACCGGGATCGCTTGGTTCGTAGTGCAGTGTAGTGCTAACCGCTGCACTACCGCTCCCTCCTCAAAGACAAACAAAGATCCCCCGTATAGCATGAACAGACTGTAGGGGCAAGTGCTGTTAGCCACACACACATAGGTGACAGACACACACAGACACACTAACAGAGACACACACACACCCTCACAGACACACTAACAAAGACAAAGACACACACACACAATGACACGGGCCCACTCTCACACCTACACACACCATCACACACAAGACCACACACAACGACATTGACACTCTCGCACACCCCAAAGACAAAGATACCCCGATAGCTATGCAGGCTGTCGGGGCAAGTGCTGTCGGTGAAGACCTATTAATCCGGCACAGCGCACAACGGTGTGGTGTGGACACACCACGCCCGGCCGCCTTTGTCTTCCGAGTTCTAACGTTTACACTATGATAGATACAAAGATCCCCCAGACTGTGGGGGCAAGTGCTGTTAGCGAGCACCTATGAAAGGCCTGCACGGCACACGAGGGGGTGGGTGGCCAGCACCACGCCCGGCCGCCTTTGTCTCCCCAGTGACGATGTTTACACACCCCCACCAGGTACTCATTTGAGGCTGAGTCGACCTAGGGGAGGCCCAGAACCGGTTCAGATAATCGTCAACGGGTGTTGGCCGTGAGCGGGAGTCGAACCCGGGTCACCAGGTTCGTAGCGCAGCGCGCTAACCGCTGCACCACCGCTCCCCACACACACATTCACACACATTGTGCAGAGACAGGACAAAGAAAGAACCGCACAGAAATTAGTGATCTATACAAAAAGACAAAGACACTGTCTCGCACAAATACAATCACATATACACAGGCAAATATCCCCCGTATAGCCTTAACAGACTGTTGGGGAAAGTGCTCTGAGTGATCACCTATGAAGGCCGGCACGGCACACGAGGGGGTGGATGACCATTGCACGTGTACACAACAACAACAACAACCGCCGTTCACCACTTAGTGGTGGTAACGTCACCACGGCACTTGTGCCACAAATATAAAGATCCCCCCCGTATGACATTATTGATTGTTGGGGCAAGCGCTGTTAGCGAGCACCTATTCAGTGACACGCACACGCACGGGTGACATACACAGACACACGGGTGACACACACACAGACACACGAGTGACACAGACACACACACAGACACACGCAGACACACGCAGACACACGGATGACACACACAGACACACGGGTGACACATACAGACACACGAGTGACACACACACAGACACACGCAGACACACGCAGACACACGGATGACACACACAGACGCACGGGTGACATACACAGACACACGGGTGACACACACACAAACACACGGGTGACACACACACAGACACACACACAGACACACACAGACATACGGGTGGCACACACACAGACACACGGGTGACACACACACAGACACACGAGTGACACACACACAGACACACACAGACACACGGGTGGCACACACACAGACACACACACACACGGGTGGCACACACACAGACACACACAGACACACGTGTGGACACACACAGACACACACAGACACACGGGTGGACACACACAGACACACACAGACACACACAGACACATACACAGACACACGTGTGGACACACACAGACACACACAGACACACACACAGACACACGGGTGACACACACAGACACACACAGACGCACACACAGACACATACAGACACATACACAGACACACGTGTGGACACACAGACACACACACACAGACACACGGGTGGACACAGACACACACAGACACACACAGACACACGGGTGACACACACAGACACACGAGTGACACACACAGACACACACAGGCACACACAGACACACGGGTGACACACACAGACACACACAGACACATACACAGACACACACAGACACACGGGTGACACACACAGGCACACACAGGCACACACAGACACACGGGTGACACACACAGACACACACAGACACATACACAGACACACACAGACACACGGGTGACACACACACACAGACACACACAGACACGAGTGGCACACACAACAAGAAGGTGGTGGCTATTCATGGCGCTCGTGCCAGGCTAAGTGCACTCTCATGAACACACAAAACAAAAACAATAGCAAGCAAGGACACACCCGTCCTTCGCACATACAGCCACACACTTTGTGTTTCCCGTACGTGCGGTACAGATCACACACGATTAAAAGACAAAGCTCCCCCGTATAGCCTTTACAGACTGTAGGGGCAAGTGCTGTTTGCGAGCACCTATGAAGGCCGGCACGGCACACGATGGGGTCGGTGGCCAGCACCACGCCCGACCGCCTTTGTCTCCCCAGTGACGATGTTTACTACACACCGCACCAGGTACTCGATTGAGACTGAGTCGACCCTAGGGGAGGACCAGAACGGGTTCAGATAATCGTCACTGGGTGTTGGCCGTGAGCGGGAATCGAACTCGGGTCGGTCTGGATCGTAGTGCAGCGTAGCGCGACCCGCTACTACAGCGCCCCCCCACACACACAAATATAAATACCCCCCGTATAGCCTCCAACAGAATGTTGGGGCAAGTGCTGTTAGCGAGCACCGGAACGACACAGGAGGGGGTGGGTGGCCAGCACCACGCCACACACATGCACGTACATACACACACGTGCACACACATGCAGACACACACACACTATCACCCACCCACACACACCTCCCACCCCACCCCCATACCACCACCCCCACCGCCACCTCCCCCACCCAACCCCCTCCCCCTTACCCCCCACCCACATCCACACCACCCCCCACCCACATCCTCAACACACAAAAAAATAGCAATTAAGCTCGAGCCAATCACAGGCGGGCGGCGTTGCGCGTGGCGGAGGCAAGGGGGGAGGGCGGAGAAGGAAGGAGGGGGGGCGGAGGAGGAGGAAGGAGGGGGGGGCGGAGGAGGAGAGGAGGAGGAGGGGGGGAGGGCGGAGCTGGGGCGGGCGCGCGCGCGCACGCGGACCAATGGGGGCACCCCGCGGGCTCCGAGGTGGAGGCGGCGCGCGCGGTGGACGGAGCGCACACAACGGAGGAGGCGCGCACCGCGAAGCGCGCGCGCGCGAGAGATCGAGAGAGAGAGACACACAGGAGAGAGCCCGGGGGTCGCTCGCGATAGCCACAAGCAACGGGGGGGGGGCTCGAAGCCAACAGTAGCCAACGGCAGCGGCGGTTGGGTCGCAAGCACGGGGTAGCCACGCAGCTGCACACACACACACACGGGCAGACACGCAGCTGCACACACACACAGGGTAGCCTCGCAGCTACGCTCACACACACATACACAGGGTGGGTGGGTGGCGGCAGCGGTAGCAGCAGCAGCGGCGCGAGGGGGGAACGACCCCGGCGATCACAGAGCGTCGGATAGCTCTGGGTGCTTTATTGTCGCACTCTCTCTGAGCTCGGGTCCGGGCGCAGCAGCCGCGGACACGAGCGTAGCAGCCCCGGCGGTCGGGCGGAGAGAGCGAGAGAGAGAGAGGAGCTGGGAGGGGAGCTGGGAGGGAGCTGGAATCACAGCGATCAGCAGCAGCGGCAGCGAGACATCGACAGAGCACGGAGGAGTTCTAGCTCGGGACGCGTACAATAGCGCGCGTGCAGTGTGTGTGGTGCTCGAGGAGGAGGAGGAGTGCAGGGGGAGGGGGGTGGGTTGCGTAGCTCGCGGTGTCAGGGAGGCACGTACCACCTTCCCCCGCTCCCCGACGCGAGAGCCATTTGCGCGGCCGTAGCAGACGAGCCATTGTCGTGGTGGCGGCGGCGACGGCGGCGGTGGTGGTGGTGGTAGCGGCCACGCGCCTTGTGTGGTGCCGTGCGAGTAGGGAGGGCGAGGAGTGCGGTGAGCGGGCGAGGTAGGTGAGCGGGGGCTGAGAATAGTACGAAGATCAAGGACCGCCAGCCACCACCCGTGGAACTCTTAATTCGTTATCAGAATTTTTTTTGTGTTTTTAAAAAATATATATATTCATATTTTTTTTTGTTACAAGATTTTATCAACAACCATCTTCGACGGCCAATATCCGCCCCCGTGGCTTCGTCTACAACCCGTTCGGAGAGGTAAGTGGTCGAGGCCTCGAGCCGTGGCGTCGGGACAACATACACAGCGGCTCGCCACTACTACCAACCACCCCACACTGCTACACACCACGACCGCAGTAACTGCCGCTGTATCGCTTTGTGTCTGTGCGTGTATCTCTCTCTCTCTCACTTGGCCACGGGGCATGGATATTTTTTTGTGTTACCCCTCACCTAAGGGCATGCCCGTCGTTGTTGTTGTTGTTGTGTGCTGCGTGTGCGTCAAAGTGACACCGACAGAAGAAAGCGCATCATCATCAACAACAACATCATCAACATCATCATCATCATCTCCAGCAACAACAGCAACAGCAGCAGCGGCCGACGCAACAGCCGCAGCAAACACCACCACCACCAAGTGTGGAAGGGTGATTGATGGCAGCCACTGCCAGTAACCCGTACCTCCCCGGCGGTAGCTCCGGAGGTGGTGGCGTTATGTCGGGAGCCGAGCAGACGCACCCCGCCTACCGCGAGCACGCCAAACTCCTGCCCGCCGCCGAGTACCTGGGCACGAACGGCCACCTGCCCCCCTTCAGCCCGCAGTGGCTCACGGCCCTGCAGCACCACGCGGCCTCGGAGAGCATGGGACACCATCACCACCACCATCATCACCACCAACCTCCATCGCAGGGGGTCGGCTCTTCGCATCACTCGTGGGCCGGCGGCAGTCCGCTCGCCCACCAGGACACGCCGAAGGTGGAAGACATGCAGCAGCAGCAGCAGCAACAGCAGCAGAATCATCATCAGCAGCAGCAGCATCAGCAACAGCAGCAGCAGGATCAGCAGCGGCACTCCCCGCACGGCGTGTGGGGTCCCAACCCAACGGCGGCCACTCTCTTGCAGTCACCGCCGGGCCAGCAGCCACATCACCACCAGCAGCACCACCACCATCACCACCATCACCAGAGCGCGCTCGCTTACTCGCCGCCGCCCTACGGTCACGCGGGCGCATCGGGTCTCCTGCCCCTGGGGCTCTCCCCGCTACACGGGGGGTCTCCACAGCCCGGGCAGGACGGCCCCGGTGGTGGTGGTGGAGGAGGAGGTGGAGGAGGCAGCATCTCGGACACGGAGCTCGAAGAGCCTGCGCCGCCCACATCGGACGACCTCGAGCAGTTCGCGAAGGAGTTCAAGCAGAGGCGGATCAAGCTGGGTTTCACGCAGGCCGACGTGGGTCTCGCGCTGGGCACCCTGTACGGCAACGTGTTCTCGCAGACGACCATCTGCCGCTTCGAGGCGCTGCAGCTGAGCTTCAAGAACATGTGTAAGCTCAAGCCGCTGCTCAGCAAGTGGCTGGAGGAGGCCGACTCTGCCAACGGCTGCGCGGGCGGCGCCTGCGGCCTCGATAAGATGGCAGCGCAGGGTCGCAAGCGCAAGAAGAGGACGTCGATTGAGGTGGCGGTGAAGGGGGCCTTGGAGAAGCACTTCTTGCAGAGCCCCAAGCCCTCGGCGCAGGAGATCACGGCCATAGCCGAAGCGCTGCAGCTCGAGAAAGAGGTGGTGCGCGTGTGGTTCTGCAACCGGCGTCAAAAGGAGAAACGGATGACCGTGCAGGGAGTAGGAGGGCCCGATGATCAGGGTTTGCAAGGCTCCATGGCTGGAGGGTGCAACAGTCCGAGCCACCATGCCCACCACGCTCTGTGATGTGGGATCCGTGCAGGGAGTGCAGAGGAGGGGGGGGGCAGTGAGACACCCCCCCCCCTTCCCCCCCGTCTCTCTCTCTCTTGGTGTGTGAGGAGCCGTGGCAGCGCGTGGGACTCGTGCGTGCGTTCGAGGAGACGCGACGGAGAGAAGGGGACACGCGGCTGTGACTGTCGCACGATCGTCATCAGCACCATCAGTAGAAACTACCACCGCCACCAGCACCATCACCACCGCCAGTACTGTCACCACCACCAGCACCACCACCACCGCCAGTACTACCACTGTTACCAGCAACACCATCAGCAGCACCGTCACCCCACACCGTCGGCACAACCATCAGCACCACCACCAGCAGCTGCAGAAACACCAACATTACAGGCAGATTCATCACCAACGCCATCGTCAAATTCTCCACCACTACCAACATCAAAAACCACCACCTTCACCACCACCACTACGATTGGAAATTTCGCCACCAAACATCACGCCGAGCACCACCACCACAACCACCACGGCTTTCAATGCTGCTGCGATAGCATCAGTTGGATTTCATCATCAGCATCGTCGGCTTCATTGGTGAGGGCGACATCTTCTTTGTCATCATCAGCAGCATCATCAGCAGCCACATGATCATCATCATCAGCAGCAGCACCTTCATTGTCAACAGCAGCTGCAGCACCGTAATCGTAACCTTCGGTTCAATTATCGGCATCATCATCATCATCAGCGGCAGCGCTAGGGTGCTCATCATCCTGACCAACCATTATCATCATCATCATAAAGAGCAGCACCGCAATCATCATCTTCATCACCACGACTACCAAAATCGGCATCATCAACAGCATTGGCATCACATCCGTACCATTGTCAGCAACAACAACAACAGCAGCAGCAGCAGCATCTCAACACGAGTGAGAAAATTACGAAACCGAGAAAAAAAATCACGCACGGCCGCAAACCTCCAGCGCGCAGGCGAACCGAGCGACCAAGCCGACTGCGGGCGTTGATTTGACGCGGCGAAGTGCATGGGAGAGGGAGTCTCCGCTTAAGAAACCCTTTACGATATCTGTGGTGGATAGCAAGGGGGAAGGGGGGGAGATATCCGTGTGGATAGCAGCGAGAGGAGACTTGTGTGACTTGATGGCGATGTGGTTTTTGTTGATGGTCACTTTGCGACGCTCTCAGCAATCATCGCAAGCCGAGTCGTAGCTGCTGTACGTGCCAACAGCTTTGGAGAACACCCGTCACCATCGGCGGCAGCAGCAGCCATCGATATCATCATCAGCAGCATCATCAGACGACCGCGATCACTTTACACCAGCTGTCAACGCGTAGAGCAGCGGTAACTTCAATCTTTACCATCACGCGTCAATATCACCAACATGATCACCACCACCACCACCACCAATAACGCCATCGTCGTTGTTACTCTGTTGTCGCTGTGAACAGCACACAACACCACGAGTAGCAGCAACTCAGACGTGGACAACATCACCGACGTAACACACGCACACGTAATAACAACGCGGAACTACGCGTGTGACACGGACACGACCACGAAACCCACCGCCACAATCCGACACGAACACAACAACAACAGCGACAGCCGCACAGACATTACCGCAAACACCAAATCAACACAACCACGACACCAACACACACACGTTGACACAACCGGCACAAACAAAATCGCACGGCACACCATCACGCGTGAACAGCACAGCCACTCACTACCGCATCCCCATGCTTTGAGACACGAGCAAAGTCGGGGCACAATTATGTCATAAAATAGTTTTTTTAGCTCCTTATTTGCATAGTTATTTTGGGGTGGCAGCTTTTGTGTGTGTGTGTCTATGCCAAGTGGAATATTTGACATCCCGCCGTTTTATAAAGGTGCATACGTACACATAATAGACGCGTGTGTGTGTGTGTAGTAGTAATAGTCAGGGCCTGCGTGTTGTGTAATGTGTGTCTGTGTGTACGTGGCACAGTGTAATACTGTAGATGTGTGTGCGTGTATATGTCCACGCGTTGTTCACGTGTGCGACATGGGAGGCGGTGCTGCAGTGCCGTTAGCACGACACCCAAAAAAATCCGAGTTCCATTCCCGGTCACGGGGATAGCATCGGTGGCGAAGTGAATTCCTGAGCGCTTCTTTTGGGGGAGCGCTTCGCCTTGAAAGATCGGCACTCACGATCCTGGTGGTGGTGTGCGGCGAACAAAAAAAATCACGATCGCCGATATGGCTCAGAATGGGGTGGGTTGGGGGGGTCTTTCAATCAGCAGTGGATTTACAAAGGCCCCAGTGCATTGTACTACGTCCGATGTTCATCACGCGGTGTAGGGCACCCATATATAAGATTACACTGGGCTATATGTGTGTGTGGTGTATGTACACGCTATGCCCATTGTGTTATGCACACACACACACGTGTACTCAATGCGTGTATGTATGTTCATAGGTAATACGCACACGTGTACTGTACTATTACATGTATGTGTACCTGCAATTTGCGTCGGTAACGCTTTGTGTATTTTTACATAGAGACAAAATGTGTCCATGTGCGCACATCGTGTATATGTGCAAATACACAGTGGAATGACGTGCTGTGTATATGTACCAATACACAGTGGAATTAAAATGTGTCTATGTACACACTACTCTCTATGTACAAATACTATTTGTGTATGCATGCATGGTGTGTCCGTACACATGGTATATACTGTGCATGCATGCGGTGCATACAATACACGCGTACGTGTTCGTGATTACATATGTATGCGTGACTAATTCATGAATTACATATGTATGTACACACGTGCAATGTACATGTATGTGTGAGATATGTGTGTGTGTACGACTACGTGTGTGTGTGCGCGTATTAGGATACATCTTAGCGGGATGTCAAATAATTAAAAAGCTATGTTATTAACACATACACATTTAGCAAGCGTTTCCACATACGCTTATTACAACGGCATATGCATCTGTGGGTGCACGTGGGAACACATATAACCATATGCGCATACACACATATGCATGCATGTACACTTGGATATGTCCTGTTTCACATACGTGGACGGATGTACACGGACATTCAGTACATGTACACGCATGCAATATGCATACGTGACCGTACATAATTGAATACATTGCATATTGCTATACGCGTACACACACACCACACGATGGCTTACACACGCACAAATACACAATTATACAAATGTGCATACATAACTAATTACGCAGCGTATGCATACATAAATATATACAGAAACGGATGTACACGCATATACCAAAAAGAAAAATACACAGGTACAGACATGTACACAGAGACACACGATGACACACACACAGGAAAGACGACATATAGATGTATACACAATGGCACACACACACCGACAGTCACACACGCACCGATACAGACGAAACAGACACACACCGATCCGGCCACACACGCACAGACACAAATGACACACTGACACACGCATGCGCGCGGACACAATGACGCACACACCGACAGATACACACACGCGCGGACACAATTACACACTGACACATACTGACACACACGCGCGGACACAATGACACACACACCGACAGTTACACACACGCGCGGACACAATGACGCACACACCGACAGATACACACACGCGCGGACACAATTACACACTGACACATACTGACACACACGCGCGGACACAATGACGCACACACCGACAGTTACACACGCGCGCGGACACAATGACACACTGACACACTGACACACACTGACACACACGCGCGGACACAATGACGCACACACCGACAGAAACACGCGCGGACACAATTACACACTGACACACACACTGACACACTGACACACACGCGCGCGGACACACTGACACACACACACGCCGATACACCCGCAGACACACGCACACACGAGTGTCTTAAACACGCGGCTTTTAACAATGCTTTGGATTTTGTGGTTTTGGTCTCTGTGCGAGCGCGCGCGTGTGCGTGTTGTTTCTGTAAAGGAGTGTGACATTAAGAATGGGGACACTGCAAAGGTCTGTTGTTGGGATCCATTGACTGCTTATGTTGAGTCAAATGTGAGTACAATTCTTGAACATATCTCAAATCTTAAATTCCACCCCTCCGAGTATCCTTACTCGCTGATACGAGCCAAAACGTTTTGCCACATTGCCGAGCCGCGCTTAATACGTAACAATTATGGTAATAACAACAGCAGCGTTATTACCGCGGTTATTCAATTAACTGAGTATTTTATTTTTGGGATGGATTTTTTCTTTTTTTAAAACGAAAGATTGAGATCGGTAATTTATTTATTTTGACCAACTCTCAGTGCTGTATAAAATAACCATCTATTATTATTTAAAGTATATGACCTAATTCATTGTGGTATATATCTATCTCAAATGCGTTGTATTGTTAAAGAGGGGACATTTTGACGATCCTTGTAAATTTACGTAAAATGTAAATTCCTAATTGTTTAAATGTGCTTTAGAATCGTTCGTTTTTTTTAAATGAATTTATATTTTACAGCTTCCATGTAGAATTTATATCGTGCCAACTCAATGTAACATTGAATGCGTTCACACGCACGCACGCGCGCGCACACACACACACATTTCCTAGACTAAAGATAGTGAGTGGGTGGTTAAATATTCTTACATGAATAACGCGAGAAATGTTAAAAATAAGTTCATTAAATAAATTTGGTTTAATTATGATACACTGCAAATTAAGAGATAATTATATTGTTGTCACGCGCGCGCGCACGCACACACACATCTACACACACACATGGGCACACAAAGACAAAGATCCCCCGTATAGCCTTAACAGACTGTTGGGGCATGTGCTGTTAGCAAGCACCGATGAAGGCCGGAACGGTACACGAGGGGGTGGGTGGCCAGCACACGGGCATACACACGCGCAAACACGCGTGCATACACACACGCACACACGCGTACACAAACACACTTTAAAGTGAAAGTGCTCCAGAGTTTTAGTATGTAAAAAAAACCGCAGAACGATAAAGTTTAACTTTTTTAATTCATGTGGCTGTCGAGATGTTACGTGAATTTGAAATGTAAGTTTAAATAGAGGGATTAGTGTGTCCAATAGTGCGCGTGGCTGTGTGTGTGCATGTCTTTGTATATGTATGTATGCGAGTGTACATATGTATGCATCGTTATAATTGTCATACGTACGTACACGCACATGTACACACGTATGTATCTTATACAGTACACGCATTATGTATTCATGCATATGTTTACACGGTTATGTACACACAAACGGACGCGTCATGGACGTTACACGTGTACGTGTGTATGTGTGCTTGTGCGCGTTTTTTACGTGTATACAGCAGCAGAGTACATGTTGCTCAAAGTAATGATATTATTGTTAAATCGGGTAAAATCAAAATGTTTCTCGCGTACGGCGAAAACTTCCAAAGTCTCCCTCGAATTTGACGGGAGTTTCTCGAGATATAAAAACAAACAACGACATTTTCAGTGGAAATAATGTTATCATCACGGTGATAATTGTGTTAATTTACAGCTCCATTACCAATCCACTGCTGGATGAAAGGTGTCCGTTTGACTATACTTTACCGTCCGGGTCACTGCGACTTCTAATAAAGAGGGTAGTTTTAAATAAGTCGGTAACATATCTCAGAAATATTTCTAAAGTACACGCAAAAAAAAAATTGAGTCGCGTTATTATTTCTTTGCTAAAACGTGGAATTGTGTGCGTTGGAACACAATCTACATCAGAGTAAAAAAAAAATTATTGGACGCGTTGCAGGTACTTTTAAGTAGTATAAATAATTTGAACGTGATATTTTTCGACAGCGATATGAAAAAGTTTTCCCGTTAAGATTAATTGTCAAAAAAAAAAAAACGTTTCACAACAACTTTTGCACGCGTTAAATGCATCTGACGTTCAGCACAGTGCATCTGTGTGCGCGTGTGTGTGTTATATGTGTCTGTGTGTACATGGGGAGCGGTAGTGCAGTGGTTAGCACACCGCGCTACAAACATTGCTACCCAAGTTCGATTCCCGCCCACGACCAATAGCAGTGGCGATTATCTGAACCGGTCCCGGGTTTCCCCCTAGATCAACTCAGCCTTGAATGAGTACATGCTGCGGTGTTGTTATAAGCATCCGCACTGGGGAGACAAAGGCGGCCGGGCCCGGCGTGGTATTGGCCACACCACCCCCTCGTGTGTCGGCCTTCATAGGTGCTCGCTAACAGCACTTGCCCCCAAAGTGTGTTGAGGTTATACGGGGAATCTTTGTATATGTGTGTATATATAGAACACATACACGTGACACGCGCTTTTTTAATGGTATGCGTGTACACGGGCAACATACCCTGATGTACAAACATATACACACACATACCCTTGCACATATATTGCTCATGAACGCACCTACCACCACGCACGCGCACACACATATACCTACAGTCCTACACTCATATGCGCGAATACTTTCAAATTACACGCCCATTCATATACAAAGACAAATATCCCCCATATAGCCTTAACAGACTGTTGGGGCAAGTGCTGTTAGCGAGCGCACACAAACGCCCTCTTTACACACGCACATACCTACACGTATACACATGCTGGCACACACATACCACCCATACACAATTACACAAGCCCAGCGTGACTTTACCGGTTACGTAATATTCTGTTTTGAAGAAATTACAGCACTCCCAACTTGGGATTATACGGCGCAAACTTGACAAAGAGAGAGAGAGGATGGGGGGGGGGGGTGAGACGCAACACGTGCAGGCACACTCGCACTCCCAACGCACAACGACTCCCAAAACACTCGCCCAAATGCTCCGGAAAGTAAGACGCACCCCCTAAGCCCCCCCCCCCCCTCCGCCCCCGCCCCCCAAAGAAAATATCATTAGTTTTCCCGGTGTCTAAGTTTTGACAAATCCGCTCACACGCCGGATTATAAGACGCACCCACCACAACTTTGCGCTGTTTAGATACAGCGCGAGGGGTGGGTGGCTGTGCGTCTTATAATCGGGAGAATACGATAGGTAGCCGTGTGTGTGTGTGCGTCAGTGACTTTAAAGTGCTCGGAGTTATTTTTTTGGGGGGGGGGGGGGTGCGGAGGGACGTACGAATCGTGTAATGATACAAACAAGTAAAAAAAAAAGATCATAAATACTCGTCGATATAAATTTTCGTGTCTAGTTGGAACATGAGGCATCGATGGACATAAGATATACAATTGTGTTTGTAAAGTATATATGTACATGTACACAACCGATTGGAATTATGACGTGACCCAGGGAATTTTTGAATATTATTATTATATACCTGTGGCCTTTGCTCTATTTATTTTTATTATTAATAAATTTGTTAGGAGAATGAAGGCGAATGCGTGGATGATTCTTTATGGCGGTGTGTGTGTGTGGTGTGTGTGCGGTGTGTGTGTGTGCGGTGTGGGTTTGCGGTGTGTGTGCTGTGTGGTGTGTGTGTGCCGTATGTGTTTCTGGTGTGTGTGCGGAGTGTGTGTGTGGTGTGTTTGCGGGGTGTGTGTGCGGTGTGTATGTTTTGTGTGTGCGGTGTGTGTGTGTGTGCGGTGTGGGTTTGCGGTGTGTGTGCGGGTTGTGTGCGGTGTGTGTGTGCGGTGTGTGGTGTGGGTTTGCGGTGTGTGTGCGGTGTGGTGTGTGTGCCGTGTGTGTTTGTGGTGTGTGTGCGGAGTGTGTGGTGTGTTTGCGGGGTGTGTGTGCGGTGTGTATGTTTTGTGTGTGCGGTGTGTGTGCGGTGTGTGTGTGCGTGTGGTGTGTGTGGTGTGTGTGTGCGGTGTGTTTGCGGTGTGTTTGCGGTGTTGTGTGTGTTGTGTGTGTGTTTTGTGTGTGGTGTGTGTGTGCGGTGTGTGTGGTGTGTGTTGTGTGCGGTGTGTGTGCGGTGTGTAGTGGGGAGCGGTGGCGCAACGGTTAGCGCGCTCTGCGCCTCGTAACCTCGCCAGAGACTCGAGTTCGATCCCCGCTCTTCACGACGAAGGACGTTAGCGAATATCTGCACCGGTCCCCGGGCCTGCCCCTAGGTCGACTCAGCCTTAAAAGAGTACCTGGTGTGTAGAACAACAAAAAAAACACATTAGCACTGGGAAGACAAAGGCGGCGTTGGCCACATCAACTCCAAACCGTCTGCGATACGGGAGGAATCTTTGTCTTGTCCGTGTGCGTGCTGATATCCGTGGCGAGTGATCTTTGAACTGGTCACTGGACTCGACCTCTAGGTCGACTCGGCCTTAAATGAGAATCCTTCCTGGTCGTGGTGGTGTATATCACTGTGGAGAGACAAAGGCGGCCGGGCATGGCGGTGGCCAACAGCACTTGTCTCAAGAGCCTGCATGTCTATACGGGGTATCTTTGTCTTTCTAACTAGGTATTTGTATTCGTACAGGCATGCACGTTGGTGTATACGTGTATGGATATCTCTGCATTTTGTTTTTATATTTGTGTTCATCACGTGAATGAGTGTTTATGTATTGGCGTATGTGTATTACTTTATGGCCCAGTTTGTGTGTGCGTGTGTGTGTCTGTACGTGCACATGTGTTCACGTACTGTATGCGTGTACCTCTGTGTGTGTACGTTCGTGTCCATGTGTTTGCGTGTGATATGTCCAAGCACCCTGTATGCACAGACATACACAAAGACACACATTGGCTGGACACACGCACACTCTAAATCAACTTCCGTGGAGCGGTGGCGCAGGGGTTAGCGCACTGCCCTGAGAAACCCCCACCACCTAAGTTCAATTCCGACGGCTAACATCAGTGGCGAGCTTGCTGGAGGGCTCCTGCTTTACCGTGCCCAGACTGACGAAAGTGGTGAAGTATGGTCAAACAACCTCCATTGACCAGGCCTTCATACATCAGTCGATTGCCAATGGGCTGTGAATGATTATAGTAACTTTCACAGTCGAACGATTACCAGTTCAAGGTTTGCTGATGAAGGTGTGTATGTGTGTACGTCTGTCTGTCACTCTATATGAGTTCACCTGTGTGTGTGTGTGAGAGTGTGGAGCGGTGGCGCTGCAAACCCGGAGGGCCGAGTTCGATTGCTTGCCCTGGGTCGTACCTGGCGTGGTGCGTAAAACATCAGCACTGGGGAGACAAAGGCGGCCGGGCGTGGTGTCGGACCCCAAACCTCGTCACGTGGTATTTTCCAGCCTTCATCGGTGCTACTCGTTAACAGCACTTGCCAAACAGTCTTGTTAGAGGCTACACGGGTTTCTTTTGTCTTTGTTGTGGGCTTATGTGTGTGTGTGTTTACGAATGTGCGTGTGTGTGGGGTTGTTGTTTGTGACAGTGTATTTGTATATTTTATTTGTGCGCGCGCGTAGGGTGATGCTTGTGTGAGTATGTTTGTGCGGTTTGTGTGTGTGTGTAAGAGCACATGTTCTGTTCACGGACACAGCTTTCACATCGCCAAGCGGTCTCATCAAGGGTGGCTCCTGCGGTGTGTGAACTCAAAGTCCAGTGACACAAAGGCGACCGGGCGTGATGCTGGCCACACTACTGCGTCGTGTTGCGCGCCTTAATAGGTGCTCGCTAACAAGACGAACCCCAACAGTTTGAGAGGTCAAATGGGGATGTTTAGCGTGCGTGCGCCTGCGTTTGTGTATTGCGTTCATGTTTACGTGTGCGTGTGCGCATATGAACGCATGCGTTTGCATGTGTGGGTGTCTTTGTCTTTACGTTGTGCATTTGTGTCGTGTGTGCCGTGTGTTGGTGTGCCGTGTGTGTGTCGGGTGTGTGCTGTGTGTGTGTGCCGTGTGTGTGTGTGCCGTGTGTGTGTGCAGTGTGTGTGTGCCGCGTGTGTGTCGTGTGTGTGTGTCGTGTATTGGTGTGCCGTGTGTGTGTGTCGTGTGTGTGCCGTGTGTGTGTGCCGTGTGTGTGTGCCGTGTGTGTGTGTGGCGTGTGTGTGTGTGCCGTGTGTATGTGTGTCGTGTGTGCCGTGTGTGTATGTGTGCTGTGTGTCTGTGTGTCGTGTGTGCCGTGTGTATGTGTGTCGTGTGTGTGGGTGCCGTGTGTGTGTGCAGTGTGTGTGTGCCGCGTGTGTGTCGTGTGTGTGTGTCGTGTATTGGTGTGCCGTGTGTGTGTGTCGTGTGTGTGTCGTGTGTGTGCCGTGTGTGTGTGCCGTGTGTGTGTGTGCCGTGTGTGTGTGTGGCGTGTGTGTGTGTGCCGTGTGTATGTGTGTCGTGTGTGCCGTGTGTGTATGTGTGCTGTGTGTCTGTGTGTCGTGTGTGCCGTGTGTATGTGTGTCGTGTGTGTGGGTGCCGTGTATGTGTGTGCCGTGTGTGTGTGCCGTGTGTGTGTGTGGCGTGTGTGTGTGTGCCGTGTGTATGTGTGTCGTGTGTGCCGTGTGTGTATGTGTGCTGTGTGTCTGTGTGTCGTGTGTGCCGTGTGTATGTGTGTCGTGTGTGTGTGTGCCGTGTATGTGTGTGCCGTGTGTGTGTGCCGTGTGTGTGTGTGGCGTGTGTGTGTGTGCCGTGTATGTGTGTGCCGTGTGTGTGTGCCGTGTGTGTGTGTGCCGTGTGTGTGTGTGCCGTGTGTGTGTGTGTGTCGTGTCTGTGTCGGTGTGTGTCGTGTGTGTATCGTGTGTGTGTCGTGTGTGTGCCGTGTGTGTGTGCCGTGTGTGTCGTGTGTGTCGTGTGTGTGTGCCGTGTGTGTGTGTCGTGTCTGTGTCGGTGTGTGCCGTGTGTGTGTGCCGTGTGTGTGTGCCGTGTGTGCCGTGTGTGTGTGCCGTGTCTGTGTGTGTCGTGTGTGTGCCGTGTGTGTGTGTGTGCCGTGTCTGTGTGTGTCGTGTGTGTGTCGTGTGTGTGTGCGTGCCGTGTGTGTGCCGTGTCTGTGTGCCGTGTGTGTGTGGGCCGTGTCTGTGTGTGTCATATGTGTGTCGTGTGTGTGTGTGTGCCGTGTGTGTGTGTCGTGTGTGTGTGTGCGAGTTGCAGCGCGCTGCGCTACAAACTCGGCGACCCGAGTTCGATTCCCGCTCACGGCCAAACCACACCAGTGACGATTATCCGAACCGGTTCTGAGCCTCCCCATAGTTCGACTCAGCCTCAAATGAGTACCTGTTGCGATGTGTAAACATCGCCCTTGGGGAGACAAAGGCGGCCGGGTTTGGTGCTGGCCACCCATCCCCTCATGTGCCGTGCCGGCCTTCATAGGTACTGCTCGCTAACAGCACTTGCCCAACAGCGTGTTAAGTCTATAGGGGGGATCTTTATCTTCATGTGTTGCAGTAATATTTGTTTACATATTACCAGCGTCTGGGCCTCCCGTAGGTCGACTCAGGCTTAAATTACTATCAGTTTTCAACGTAGTGGAGTGGTGTGAGTCAATAAAATCAGCGATACGAGTGAGACAAAGGCAGCCGCGCTGTGCGTCCGTGCTTAATAGGTGCTCGCAAACAACACGAGGCGTGCCCGAGTAAACAAGTGGCGGATACATTTCGATTTAAAGCTTTCGTGACTGCAGGGATTCATCTTCTAGGTTCTTTCGGTAAAGTCACGTAGAAGGGAAATAATAAAATGATAAAAATAAAACATAATTATATTATTTTATTATGTTTATTTTATTTATTATTTCCCTTCTACGTGACTTTACGGAAAGAACCAAGAAGATGAAAAAAGTTGCGGATATAAATGTCCTTTCAAATCTACTGCTGGATGGGGGGGGGGGGGTCTGGCTATACTTCACCACGCTGGTCGGCTCGGGTGGATGGCGGTGTAGGAGGGGGGAGGGGGGCCATACCGTAGCCTGGGATCGAACTCAGCGTGCGAGGTTCACAGTGGAGGGCGCTAATCGCTGCGCCACCGCTCCAAACCGGTTACTTCACGCGCGGTTACTTTATTTGTAAGATGATTGATGTCCCTTATTTTCCAACAGGTGAGAGCTCATTCCTCGAACATTTTACTTACAATGAAAGATAATTGACGAATAGTAGCACTGCTGAAACGGGCATTGGAGCAGTGCCCATTCCAATTGGCGGTTTTCTGGGCCCAGTGGAAATTCCACGTTCCCGTGGCGGGGTCAGTCTATCCATGTAAGTACCTTTTTTATAATTAGTGTATTCATACTTGAAGATGCATTTTAATCACCATCACCATGATTGACCACCACTACCGCAACTACCACACACCACCACACATCACCATCGACAACACGGTAATATGAGTTGCGTGAAAAGTTTTTGAATCCGTGAGCGCGCGGCTCCGTTTGGCTCACAGTGATGAAGGCCTTCATCCACTGCTGGATGAAGGCTTCTCCGAGCTCAACCGGCACACACGATTTGAATGCACAAAGACAAAGATTCCACCCCCCACCCCACCCACCCGATAGACTCAACACACTATTA